AGCTTTGGTTTATGGAATCTTCCCTACCTAAAATGTTCCCTCACTTCCTTTTTCTGCATCCAAATTCCTTTTTCTTATATGTCTTTCCCTAGTATTGTCTTTATGTCTGTTATAAATTTACCTTTTTTCCCCAATTTATGTCAGAGGTCAATCTCTTCATTTGTGTGTTCTCCATCCCAAATGTTTCTTACTTTTTTCAAGGGTTTCTCTATTGCACTTATCTCTTCTTTCTCTTGTACCTTTTCTCCCTCTTGACTGGTTTATTTTTAACAGAGTATGTTCTTTAAGAGCTCACATCTTAAAGTAAACAGAAAATAGATACTTTTGACCCTAACCAACTACCTTAGTCCCTTCCAACTACCATTTTACTTCTTAGCTCTCTTTCACTCCAAAACTTTTCTAAATAGTTGTTCCAATAATAGGGAAAGACGAAAAAGTAATTATGATTCAGGAAAAGGAAGTGAGGAGGCATGCATTCAGGGAAAGTAGAACCACAGACAACATTTGAACTAAACCTTGCAGACTAGAAACATTTCAATAGGTAGAGAGATTATTGAAATGACAGAAATAGAATTCAGAATATGGATGGCAAATAAGATGAATGGAATGGAGGTAAAGATGGAAAAAGAAGTCCAGAAATGGTCTCAAGAAATTAGTGAAATTAAAGACAAGTCACCAAGGATCTGGATATAGCAGAGCTTAAGGAATTGAAAGACACATTCAAGGAGGTTCAAAACACATTAGAGAGCCTCAGTAATAGAGTAGAACATGGAGGAGAAAGAATTTCAGAAATTGAAGAAGACAATGTATTTGAACCAACTCAGTCAATTAAAGAGGTTGAAAAACGGGACTAAAAGTTCCCTGAGAGAGATATGGGATTACTCTAAAAGATTGAACATTCAAATTATAGTGATTTCTGAAGGAAAGGAAGGTGGTCCTAAAGGCACAGAATCTGTACTTCAAGATGTCATGTGAAGAATTTCCCAAGCATTGTGAGAGACCCAGAAATCCAAGTACTAGAAAGTCTCAGAACCCCATCATGACTCCGTTCAAACAAAGCATCTCTTAGACACATGGTAATTAATTTGGCTAAAGTCAAAATGAAAAAGAAAGTCCTGCAAGTGGCCAGACATAAGCAATTTCTTACCTACAAGGGTGACAAGGGGCTTTTTAGCTGAAACTTTTCAAGCCAGAAGAGGGTGACCACCTATCTTTAACTTCCTTAAACAACACAATTTCAGCCTAGGATTCTGTATCTTGCTGAACTAAGTTTCATATTTGACAGAGAAATCAAATACTGACATCCAAATATTGAGGAATTTCACAAGACCAGCTCTGTTCTTCAGATCTGTTCTTCACATTGACTAGCACAATGTAACATCAGCAAAGTAAACACCCAGAAACTAGTGGACAAAGCCTAGCTACCACAATGGTTCAAGGGATAAGACTAAACAATAGACCTCCACAAAACAACACAAACAGAAGTCTGTCATACCTATCAGTTCTCTCAGTAAATGTGAATGGCTTGAATTCCCTACTGAAGAGGCACAGGCTGACTGACTAATAAAAAGATATGCCAAATATATGTTGTCTTTAAGATTCACATCTAATCTCTTAGGCTAAAACTAGACTCAGGGCGAAAGGAAGGAAAACAGTACTTCAGGTAAATAGAAATCAGAAAAAAGCAGGGGTTGTAATCTTATTTGCAGATACAATTGGATTTAGACCAACAAAAAGAAGAAAGACAAAGATGGACACTATATACTTGTTAAGGGAACAATGCAACAGTCCTCCAAAATTGATCATATCTTAGGGCACAAATCAAACTTCAGCATCTTTTAAATGTAAATTATCTCCAGTAGAAATCTTCATATTTACATAAAGTCGTGGAAACTAAATAACCTTTTGCTTTATCTCAAGTAAGAGCTAAAGAAGGAAATCATTAAATTTCCTGAACAAAGTGACAAGCCACAAGCTACCAAAACCTTGGGATCCTGCAAAGGCCTTCCTAAGAGGGAAATTTATAGCATTAAATTTCCACGTCCAGAAAACAGAAAAAGAGCAAGTCAGCAGCCTAATGGACCACCTCAAGGAGTTGGAAAAGGAAGAACATTCTAATCCCAAACCTAGTAGAAAAAAAGAAATAACCAAAATTGATTAGAATTAAACGATATTGAAGACACAAGAATAATTCAGAAGATCAGTAAAACAGAGTCGGTTCTTTGAAAAGATTAATAATATTGATAAACCCTTGGCCAACTAACCAGAAATAGAAAATTAAGATGTCTAATAGCCTTAATAAGAAACAAAAATGGGGAAATAACAATAGATACCACAGAGATTAAAAATCACACCAATTACTATAAAAAACTCTATGCCCAGAATTTTGAAAACATAGCAGAAATGGACCAATACCTGGAATCACACCATCTTCCTAAACTCAATCAGAAAGAATTAGAAAAAAATTAAAAAAAAATTTTTTTGAGACAGAGTTTCATTATGTCACCCTGGGTAGAGCACTTTGGCATCACAGCTCATAGCAATTTAAAACACAGGGGCTTAAACAATCCTCTTGCCTCAGCCTTCCAAGTAGATGGGACTATAGGCACCACCACAATGCCCAGCTATTTTTAAGACTAGGTCTTGCTCTGGCTCAGGCTGGTCTCGAACCTGTAAACTCAGGCACTCCACCTGCCTTGGCCTCCCAATTGCTAGGATTACAGGCGTGAGCCACCGTGCCCAACCCAAGAATTAGGAATTTTGAATAGACCAATATCAAACACCAAAATTGCAACAACAATTAGAAATGTTCCCAAAAAGAAAAGCCTCAGACAAGATAGTTTCACGCAAGAATTGTCTTTTTTGTGTATTTGCAATGATTTCCTTACTGGTTTTCCTTTTCCCACATTTCAAGAGTGATTTAAGAATCAGTTCTGATAAAGTTCGCAGTGGCTATCCAGTGCCTCTTCTATAGGGAGACTGCATGTGTCATGTACCCCAAATGAAAGCATTAATATTTTTAGTCTTCTCATGGCCCAGCCTTCCTGTTTGGCCCATCTCTAACCACTGTTCCACATAGCATTTTATATTCTAGTGATACTCATCTACTTGTCAAAATGTATAGCATGCTTTCTTTAGCCTCTGTGCCTTGTGGTCTGTTTGGAATTATGCTCCAAGTCTTAATATCTCCACTTTGAAGCCTTTATTTCTCTTTATCTGAATAAGGAGTCCCTGCCTCTCTCATTTCATTTTAACTTCCATATACCTCCCTAGAACAATTATATGTACAATTGATCCTTGAACAACATGGGTTTAAACTGTGCAGGTCTACGTGTATATTTTTAATAAGTATATTGGAAATTTTGGAAATTTTTTTGAAATTTGTGACAGTTTGATAAAATTTGCAGAAGAGGCTGTTGCCTATGGTTCAGTGTGTAGGGCGCCGGTCCCATATCCCGAAGGTGGCAGAAGGTGGCAGATTCAAACCCGGCCCTGGCCAAACTGCAACAAAAAAATAGCCGGGTGTTGTGGCGGGTGCCTGTAGTCTCAGCTACTCGGGAGGCTGAAGCAAGAGAATCACCTAAGCCCAAGAGCTAGACGTTGCTGTGAGCAGTGTGATCCTGCCACAGCACTCTACTGAGGGCGAGAAAGTGAGACTCTGTCTCAAAAAAAAAAAAAAAAATTTGCAGAAGAATCACATATCTAGAAATATTGAAAAAATTAAGAAAATCTAAGTATGCCATTAATACATAATATATATATGTAGATACTACTCCATTTTATCATTCACTACCATAAAATATACAAAATCCATTAATATAAGAAGTTAAGATTTACCAAAAGTTATGCACACAGAGACTTATAGACCATATGTGGTACCATTCACAGTTGAAGGAAATGTAAATAAATATAAAGAGGTCGTATTAAATCATAACTACATAAAACTAATGATAGTAGTAGATACTATACTATATTAATTTCATAGCCACCTTCTTTTGTTATAGTGGACGTTCAAATATTTCAATTATCTGCTTGCCACTAATCATTCGTTTCAACAGTTTGTCTCTCCATAAATTGCGTATCACAGTAAGAAGGGATCTTTAATGGTTCTCATGTAGTTTTCATTGTGTTTATTACAACACTGTATACCTTGAATAATATAATGGGACCTATATGAAGCATTGTTTTCTTTTCTCTAGCTTACTTCATTGTAAAAATACTCTATATAGTATATGTAACACACAAAATATGTGTTAATTGACTGTTTATGTTACCAATAAGGCATCAGTAGGCTACTAGTAATTAAGTTTTAGGGGAGTCAAAGGATATATACAGATTTTCAACTGTGTGGGTGTCAGTATCCTGAGCTCCTGTGTCATTATTGAAGATTCAATTACAATTGAAATTGTTCATTTGTCTTTCTATTTCTTTCTACAATATTATATAAATTCCTTGAGGTTCAAAGTGCCTTCATTTTACATACTCAATAAATATTTATTGAATGGGAGGGTGGAGGAAGAAAGTCAAAACATTGTTGAACGAAAGACTAGTTAGATACATGCGGAGGCTCTTAGATAATTCATCAGTTTGGTGTATCATCAGGTGCTTCATAAGGTCACTTTTTATCATTCATTCAAACACATTTATAGTATGTCAGATATACAGGAGCCATAATGAGGAATCCAACAAGATTCGATTTTTGCCTTTATCAACCTTATAGATTACACCTTTTATTCCCACGGTCACATTTTTAGGGATGTATGTAATTTTGAAGGGAAAATTTGTCAGTAATAGCTGTTTTATGACTTACTAGTCTTTGCAGGCATTTTCTCAGTAACAATAGAAAATTTGGGGTGAATAAAGGAAAATGTCTCCTGAGAGGACACACTGTTTTTTTCTCTTGGGTAAAAAAAAAAAAGTAAGTTTAATATTAATAATTAAAATTTGCTTACAAAGCATAGGACTTAGAGAAAATGTACTGTTTTTTTTCTTTTTTGTAGGAGAGGTTAAAGCTTACCTATGAGGAAAAGAGTGCAATCCAGGAATCCCAATTAACATTTTTGAGGTAAATTTAACTCATACATTTATAGCCTTACTAAACCCATAATAATCTTGAAAAATATTTGAATGTTTGCTGAACTGTCACTTTTAATCAGTATCAAAATTACTTGATGATATTTTATATACAATATAAAAAAATTTCCTCAGGTTATAAAAGGCTAAAGGAGCATAAAATTTTAAGTACTTTTCCAAATTCTGTTTCTGTAAGCTAATTTATAAATTTTAACCTTTCATCACTTGCAAAACATTTGCTTTTTTCTCATAGAAATAAGAATCACTAGTTGCTCTTATAGAAATTATGTTTTGAAAATAAAATATAACTTGAAAGCAAAGTACTCTACTTTTCAAATCACAAGCAAGTTTTTTTCCTCTATAGATAATCTTCAACTAATTTAAAATTGCAATAATAGTATAATTGCACATGAACTTTGTGGCCACTCTGTAAAATGTGTAGAAAATGACACCAAGAATTAACAAACTTTTTTATTAAAGGTTATTTTAAAATAGTCATAATAGGCCAGGCGCATTGGCTTAGGCCTATAATCCTAGGACTTTGGGAGGCTGAGGCAGGAGGATCCCTTGAGCTCAGGTGTTTGAAACCAGCCTGAGCAAGAGTGAGACCCCATCTCTACTAAAAATAGTAAAAATTAGGTGAACATTATAGTCCCAGCTACTTGGGATGCTGGGGGAGGAGGATCACTTGAACCCAGGAATTTGAGGTTGGTGTGAGGTAGGCTGATGCCACTATATTTTAGCCTGAGCAACAGAGTTAGACTCTGTCTCAAAAAATAAATAAGTAAAGTGGTAATTATTTTCAAATTAAATAAACTTGAAAATATTTTTATAATTTTATTTTAATAAGTCCAATTTGAAATAAGTTTTGAAATCTTCCAGGTTATATTCTATCTAGAGATATAACCAGAATAATACTAAGAACCAGCGCTCAAAGCTTTCATTACAGAAGTTGTTGTTCATCTTTTTAAAAAATACTTTTATGGTTTTCTAATAGATTGCTCTGATTAGTTTTAAGATTTCTGTGAAGATTTTTGTTTTTACAAAAAGAAACCCAACTTTTAAAAAATGGTCTCGCTTTTTTCCTTTTTATTTTATCTGATTTGTGTTGTGATTTGATTCTTTAGTTTTTAATATATTTCTAGGTCATTATACTTAGGGGAATGTGACGTAGTTTGTCTCATTCAGAATTCAAATATACCATCTTTAATTATGTTAAAATATCAACTTGCAATGATCTAGACTCGATCCTTCTGTTTCTTCATTTTCTTTAAGCCTAATTTAAGGTTATTTTAAGGCACAGTTTTTTAAAGAAAGAAACAAAATCATTCTTCTCAGAAACTCTGGCTCTTAGGTAACTATTTCTTTTTCGATTTCCAGCAACCAAATCTACTTAAGTGTTTTGAGTTTGGACCTGACAGAAATTAATAATAAGGACCACTTGACTTAAGAATGTGCTTCCAAAATTCTTTCTTTTTATAAAGCCTTTGAGTGAATGTCAAACTTTCTCCACATGATATTGAGAGAGAGAAAAAGAAAAAAAAACACAACACTTTTTATGTTAGAGATATTAATTTAGGGATAGGACAGAAATAGCTCCTCGGTTCTTCCCCTGCCCACTCCTACCCCCAAACTTCAGATTGTCATTAGCTTTTTTTTTTGGCAGAGTGCCTGTGGATCTTTTCCATCACCCCTAGAAATGGAAACTGGGAAATCCCAACAGTTGAAGTGACGTCTGACAGCCAGGTGTCGGTTGTTGGCTTTGTCAGACTTAGACAGCTATAGACCCTTGAGCATAGAAACTCTGACAATAGGGAGTACAATGGGCTGGAGATAAAGTACCTGCCTTCCAAAATCTCCTCTTTGAGCTAGGAAGTTGATTTTTTAAAAAAATACATGCTGTAGAAAAGAGACATCTCAGTGAGAAAGCTCAGTCACCAAGTTGACTTGACCACAGTTTTAGTGGGAAAGAAGAAAATACAACCCACATCTTGGTCACTTAATGCTTAAAAAGTCAACTTGGAAAAAACCCCACACAGGGGTAAGCCCATAAAGTAAAAACAAACAAAACTATACATGCACACACCCATTTTTCACCCCCTTTTTTAGCAAACTGCATGTTTCCAGCTCATATCTGCTACTATTGAAATATGAGTGGCCAAGTTCTATATAACTTCTTTTATAGCCCATTCTCTTTTGAAACAGATCTTTGTAGAATTTTGTGGTGAGATAATTTTTTTTTATCTTCTTCATGGACAAAAACTAGCCAATAATAAATTAGTTATGGATAAACTAATTTACATAAACTCATACTCTATGTAAACTTATACTTTACATAAACTTGTACTCTATAAATTTTGAGGAATTACTACTTTAAATAGCATATTAACCTCCTTTCAAGTATATTATATTATATTGCCCCTATCCCTTTATTAAGAGAAACTGTTTAGGATTAACATTTGGAGTTTTATTTTTGTTTTGTGGATTATATGTTATTAATAAAGGTCAGATTGTATGAAAGAGAACCAGTGTCGGAGACAGACTCTAATCTATATTAAAATCCTACGAGAACCTTAGTTAATTGTTTAATGTATTCAAGTCTCATTATATTCAATGTGTCAATTAGGATAATCACATCTAAGTTTCGGGTTTCTGCTAAATTATTAAGATATCATATGTAAAGCATAAGGTACACACCCATAATGGCAGTAAAAGTTAACATCATGATGATTTATTTGAAATTAGTATACTGTTACTTGGCCATTTCCTAGAATTTTTTTTCCTTCTTTGTAGGAAAGACTTAGCTGAATATCAGAAAAACTATGAAGATCTTAAAGAACGACTAAGGCATAAAGAATCTCTTCTTGCTGCTAATATTTCCAAACGTGTTGGTGGTCTTTGTTTGAAATGTGCTCAGCAGGAAGCTGTGCTCTCCCAAACCCATAATAATGTTCACATGCAGACCATTGAAAGACTGACTAAGTGAGTATGCTTCCATGCACAGTCTCTGGCAACATGGAAAAAGTGTGACTTTAAAGGGGCATTGTGTTCTTTTTATCCCTATGCTAAAGAATGTGATTAATGTTAAGCTTCAAATAAAATGGATTTTAAAATATTCCTTCCTTGTAGATTCCTTGAAGACAAAATAGGTAGGTTCTGCCAACTGCGGGTAATCACGTCACTTTAAACAAATAGTTTATCTCTGGGGTTCAGTTAGAGAATTGAACTAGATAATCTGTACAGTTCTCTCTTGTTCAAGAACAGATTACAAATAACAGCATTATTCTTAATGAAACAGTGGATAGGAATTTCTTTGATTTTGCCATATTGTGGATTTCCCCGCTATAGTTTAGGTAGAATGAGTTATTACCACATCTCCATCATGTGTCTGTTGTAACAACCTTTTTGGAAAGGTTTCAGGCCTGGTTTCACAAAAGACAACTTTTCTATGGCTGAGGATGGGGATGGTGGGGGGAGAATGGTCTCTGTGCAGTCAAACCTCTCTACTAATGATAATCTGCAATTGTCACCACTCCCCAGGGCTAGCATTGCTGCCTCAGCTCCACCTCAGATCATCATGAGATTCTCATAAGGACAGTGCGAGGTAGATTCCTTGTGTATGCAGTTTATAGTAGGGTTCATGCTCCTCTGACAGTCTAATGCTGCTGCCTGTCTTACAGGAGGTGGAGCTCAGGCAGTAATGTGAGTGATGCAGGATGGCTGTAAATACAGAAGAAGCATTGCTAGTTTGCTGCTGCTCACCTCCACATGGAGAGGATCAGGCATGACTTGGAGATAGGCAATGGGTGGGGGGCGAGGACTGAAGTGTTATAAAAAATACTGTGAGTGTAGTAAAGTGGTGGTCCATGGCCTGGGGCTGGGGGCAACAGTATTATAAAAAGTAGTGTGAGTGAAGTAAAGAAAGATCCACTGTATTCCAGTATTAATAATTGAGAGTTGACTAGGGACAAGTTACAAATTAGCTTTTATGTTGTTGAAATTTATATTTAGGCTGAAGTGCTACAATTCTCTGCGTATATCTATTTTTTTTTCTATTTTCACTATGCCAGAGGAAGCCTTTTCCTGTGAAAATTTTATTCAGTCGAAGTTGAGAATTGCGATGTAGTGTATAACTCCATGGCGGTTTATGGTGTGTGTTCTTCCAGGTCTTCTACTTTTCTCTATGCTCAAGGTCACTTCTCTCTGTCCTGCTCTTTTAAATAACCCAACCATCACTTCTTTTAGAAGTAATCTCTCGCCAGCCCTGCCCTATTTTGTCCTCAACTCACTTTGACTTCTTTCTTCTGTAATCTTACAATATACAGTGTACACATGGAGACAGCAACTGTGTGTTGTTTATTTCTGTAGCCCCTGTTCCCAACAGAAGGGCTGGCCTGTAGTAGAGTAAATGCTTCCTGTTCACATGATAAGGCATTTTGGCCTTTACTGTTGTCGGACATCATCCAGTTGGACCTGATATAGCAAAGTGCAGTGACTGTGACCGTTAAAGTCAGACCAGTTTTGCTCTATGTCTTGACCTTCAACAAATTACATACTTCTTTTCTCTACGTAGAAAAATATTTGAAAGAATAAGCACCAAATATTTAACAGTGACTATCACTGTGGTGTAAGAAGGCATTGAAATTGACAGTGCGTGTCAGATAGGCCTTTAACCATATTAGTAACTAATTTTGAAAGGAGAATGTAATGAAAAATTAATTTTAAAAAAGAAAAAAGCATATTCAAAGTCACACAGATAAAAAGAGAGTTTAAAAGTAGGTCATTGAACAAAACTGATTAACCAAAAGCATACTGCTTTTCATAGTATCCTTCCAGATCATGAGAAAAATATTTTAAGCTATAGTATTTATATTGATTCCACATCTGGCAGTCATTGAGAAATTAGATTCTTGCTCAGTTATGCACTCCTTTGTCTCTCTCCTGCATTTGAGCTCTTAGCCTCTTCAAGTACATGTCAACCTTCCTAGTTCAATTTTCTGCTTTGTCAGCATATCACATCCTGTTCTGCTTTAATAACAGAAAACAGGGAAAGGTTTCTGCTTTTATTTTCAATGAAAATTTTTATCCGTATGATTCCTTTGGCCTAAGTTGGTGTTCAACTTATTAAGGCAGACTGCTGAATATTGAGTGCTTGCTGACTTTAAAGAGTGTCTGATACTTTATGGATTTGGATTTCTAGTTTTGCATGTAGTTCAAATCCTGACCCTTTAATAAACTTTTATCAAAATACTTCCTGCATGATTTTAATATAGAATTAAAAATGCATACCTTAAATGTGATAAATCAAAACAATTTCCTGACTTAGTTTGGAAATGTGGCCTAGCTTTTAGCTCACTTGTTGCATCTTTCAGCGTTTACTGTTTTGAAGATATGACCCAAGAATGACGTGCAGTTGACGTGGACAGGATCGGGCATGACTCGGAGAGCAGACTACCTGTATGTTATGATGTTTCCTTAGGGCCTCAGGGACTTTGGAGAGTATATTTAACAACTGCTGATGGTGTTTGGTATATTTTTAAAGTTGATTTGAAGTCTTCTTTTTGTTTTTGAACTTCTGTCACTCAGGCCTTTTTATGCCATGGGGTGGGTAAGAGTAACAGTAACCTCTTTTTCTTGCTTAATGATCAAAATACCTTAATGGTGATCATGATGGAGCTGCTTTATATTAAATTCCTTCCTGTAGCTCACAATACCTTGGAGAAGTTTCTGTGTACTTTTCAAAAAAGAGAAATGATTACCAGAGTACTATTCTGGGTCTTCAGTCCAGCTTGCGACTTTCGGGTGGATCACTGGCAGTGTTCTGTGTAGTTGGCTTTGAAAGACTACAGCAGGACCGTCCCAGAAATGAGGAACAAAGAAATGTTGTAGTCAGCCTGCTAAGCATTCTTTTTAAAAAACAGAAGTAATCATGCTTATTAATAATGTTAGTAATTCTTAAAATTGATAACAATTCTGGAATAATTTAGGAGTTGAAAGGCATTTCTTAGGCATTGCATATTTCAAGATAAAGCTCACACCAATACATGAAACCAACATTCTCTTTTGCTTATTTTAAATACTTGGCAGAGCTTATTTAGGGACTTTCTCAGTCGTTTCGCTCTGATTGTTGCACTAAGTTCCTGAAATGTTACATGCTCGTTAGTGTGTGTAAGTGCATGCTTTTTCATCCCAGAACTGACATTCATACTCTTTACATCATCTTTCTGCTTCAGCTGCTCTTTTGTCTGGATCTTGGAATGTTGCAGGGTTAATGCTTTGTTGCTGGCTTTGCTTCAAGAAATTCCTTGATTACTTTCATTAAAATATTCTTATGATGTTTTAAGCTCTCATGTAACTTTTGCCACGGAAGATGATAATTTGGAGAACTTCCCTCTCCCCTCATATTAATATATCATGTGTCTGTACAACTTCCCCTGTGAGAGCCTCACTCAGGCCTGGCTCTGGGCTGCCCCTGTGGGCTGCAGTCTGATGCAAAACCATCACTGGTGCTGGAATTGACTGTTTTTAAAGGGCAGATCATGAATAACACTATTTGATTCAGGGGCAAGTGTGGGGCTGAAATATGGCAGATCAATCAAGAGGGTGACATCCAGGGCAGTGCCTGTGGCTCAGAGGAGAAGGGCACCGGCCCCATAAGCTGGAGGTGATGGGTTCAAACCCAGCCTCGGCCAAAAACTGCAAAAAAAAAAAAAAAAAAAAAAAAAAGAGGGTGACTTCCAGAGGAATGGAGCAGGAAGCACGGTCTTGTGTTGAAGAGAAGGGGCTGCCAGTCCAACCAGGGCCTTTATTATTTTTATTGTTATTTTTTTGAGTGCTTGCTATTTGGTATATTGGCTGGCTAAGTTAAAACAAAATGACCAAAATGATCAAAATTTAGTGACTAAGTAGATAATCCTAAATTGCCAAAATAGCTATCCGCAGACTTCCCACATGGGCTAAGGGCTGCCTTGATGCATGTAGTACATTTATCTTATGGAAAGTTGGAGTGTATCAGTCCAATGGTTATACAGACTTTTAGTTTAATCATTTTGTGGTCTGTTAATGATGAGCTGAATAAGACATCTATATTTTGGGGTTTGTTTTTGATGATTTTCTGTGGTTCAGTCGTCTAAATTTGGTGAACTTACATTCTGAAAAGTTTTTGAATCAGAGCAACTGTTTATTTTTGAATTCTAAATTGTCAAATGACTTTTCAGTTTATACCATAAAATGTAAGAACTGAGAGGCTTCAGCTTTGTTGGTGTCTTCCTATAGCAAATTTCTTATTTATTCATTTGTTCTTTTCTTGTTTATTTCATTGAGCATCTGCCATGTGGCAAAGACTACTTTTGGCAAGAAGGTAACCTGAGAGGACATTGACCGTATTAAGCACAGGTCTCCTGTAAGAAGCAAATTTGTTAGATTTTGATCCTGTTGTGATTTGTATGCAGTCTGTAAATACTGAGTGTTTTTTTTTTCATTCTTTTTACTTGGAACTTTGGCTTTGGTGATAGCACAGTATCAGGAACAGATAAGAATATTATTGAATAGCTTTTGCTTTTCAGGAACTCTTAGAACTTGTAAAAAGTTGACTAGATGTTGCCTACATTGACTTGTTATCCTTAAAGAATAAAGTTTTTCTTAGGCTATAACTAGGTGATAGCTTTCATATGAAAGCTATAAATTAGTTTCATAATAGGGTTGTGTACATTGGATACTTTTTCTTCCATTCTTGTGATACTTTGCTAAGAATATTTTCCAGCTCCATCCATGTAAACATGATGGAGGTAAAGTCTCCATCTTTCTTTATGGCTGCATAGTATTCCATGGTGTACATATACCACAGTTTATTCATCCATTTGTGGATCAATGGGCACTTGGGCTTCTTCCATGACCTGGCAATTATGAATTGGGCTGCAATAAACATTCTGATACAAATATTTTTTGTTGTAATGTGGTTTTTGGTCTTCTGGATATATACCTAATAAAAGAATTGCAGGATCAAATGGCAGGTCTATTTTTAGTTCTCTAAGTGTTCTCCAGACATCTTTCCAAAAGGAACATATTAGTTTACATGGCCCACCAGCACAGAAGTGTTCCCTTTTCTCCACATCCATGCCAGCATCTGTGATTTGGGGATTTTGTGATATGGGCTAATCTTACTGGAGTTAGGTGATATCTCAAAATAGTTTTGATTTGCATTTCTTTGATGATTAAGGATGGTGAGCATTTTTTAATATATCTGTAGGTCATGCACCTATCTTCTTTAGAGAAATTTCTCTTCAAGTCCCTTGCCCACCCGAGATGGGATCACTCATTGTCTTCTTACTAATACGTTTGAGTTCTCTGTAGATTCTGGTTACGTCTTTCAAGGGTACAAGTGAATCTTTCTAAAAGTAGCATATAGACATCTTAACGCAATAACTAAGAGAATGACATTAAGGCTATGTTAGGCAGTTTGATGAAAATATTTCAGATTGTATGTGAAAATACCACACTGTACCCCATGATTGCATTAATGTACACAGCTATCATTTAATAAAATAAAAAAGAATAAAGCTTTTCTTTAGTGCTAGAATCACAGGTCCTAGATGGATTACATATCCTCAATAAAACTAATCCCCTTTAATGTTATAGGGCATTTTTGAAAAGGCAAATAAATACAAATTTAATTTTTTTTGCATTTAATTTATTTTTTACTTTATAAGAAAGCTTAAATCTTGCTTTGATTCTTTTACTTTTCATTTAGTCATTGATTATATTTGATCAAAACTATTTTCTTTTTACATTTCCTTTAGAATAAAAAAACTATATCATTTTTTACCAATCTAAAACAAATAATTTGGGAAACTCTAAAGTGAATATCACCATGTTCCCATTAATTTTATGATTTTTGTGCTAATTTATTCTTATTTTAAACAAAAAGTGCTTTTATGCAACTGCTAAGAATTGTAGCTTTGTTTAGTATTAAATGTTTCTTAAAAATGTGGCTGCTTTCCAAATACCATGAATAGTTTAAATTATTTTACCTTTTAAGAGATTAAAAAAAAAATACGGTCATTGATTAAGTCTAAAAGTAATTCAGATTCAGACTTTATAATCTTCCATGATTCTTTAAAACTTGCTTTGAAAAAAAAACTCATTTCGCTCTTTTCTGGTAGTTGAGAACTTGGCAATGAAAAGAAAACTGGAAGCATTTATTTCAAATGAATCTGAGACTACAGTTTAAAACTTGAGCTCTTTAACAAAGCATGGAATAGCATATGTGGCAATCCCATATGTTTCTGCTTTGTGTGCATAGAAAGTTTCCCACCTCACTTTCTCTTTGGTGTACTGGACATTTTTATTTGGTCAGTAAATTCCAAATATTCTGGAATATTTTATATGGGATCTATTTAACCTTTGAGATTGAATCCTTGCTATTTTACATGCCAGAGCATTTTGGCATGTGTAAACCTTCTATCCTCACTAAACAGCTTAGCTTAGGGTACTTCTGAGAATTGCCGAGGAGGAGGTGGGGCTTGGCAATGAACAACTCCAGTGGAATAGGACTGTATTGAGTTGTGAATGTTAAATGCATAACCAGGGAATTTGGGGAGTTCAGAGTAGTACTACCTATTGGAAGAAAAGAATGTGTTCCTAAGTAAGTGAAAGAATTTAATTAAAATAGAGGGCAGAAACAGAATTGTGGAGAAAGATGAAAAGGAGAGGATATATGTTTGTTGAATTAAGTGAGGGAAGAATCAGCAGCGTGAACAGAAGTCTTAGTCCCTTCTTAAAATGGCGACTTCTACTTGGAGGTGCAATCCCCACCTTCCCTACTTTGTTGCATTTTCTCTTTCATCATCCCTCTCCTCTCTCTTTTAAACCTGTTTGCTCCTTTCTGAGATTGACTCTGCAGCCCTCTGCACAGTAGGCTGCTGTCCCAGGCAGATGCAGCAGGAATGCACTGTGAGTGCCTGCAGCCCTTCTGGCTGCTCTGCTTGCTGCCCACGTCAGGACAGTGACCTTCTCCGGAATGCGCCTTATTTAATGCATGCTGAGCTGACCCACCTGGCTCTTCTAAGATGTATTAATACTTTTTCCTTCCGACGTATGAGTACATGATCATGTGATCATTCCTTGTTTTGAATGTCCTTTTTTCTCTGCTAACAGAGAAAGAGATGACTTGATGTCTGCGCTAGTTTCCGTACGGAGCAGCTTGGCAGATGTGCAGCAGAGAGAAGCTTGCGCTTACGAACAGGTGAAACACGCTGTGCAAATGACGGAGGAAGCCAATTTTGAGAAAACCAAGGCAAGTCTAATAAGGTGCAAATAAAGACATCGGAGAATTGCTCTTTTCTTTTTTTCTTCCGAGTTATGTCTTTGGTTATTCTTCCATAACGAAACTCTCTTTTCCAAACACAAAGTGAATACCAATCTGTTAATGTTGACTTTCTAAATTAAACAAATTTGCTTTCTGGAGAATTCTCATTCTTCGGCAAATACTCTTGTTGTATCACTTGTTCAGAGAATGTAGTACCATATGGTATGGTAACATACTTTGAGAGATTTGTAAGCTTAATCTTTTTATTTGCTGATAATTTTCAATGCTGTGAAAGTATTAATACCCAGTCACTAGTTTGTATATGTTCATATGACTAAAGACAAAGGTTTTTCCTGCACACATGGGAAATTTTGAGAACATTCAAATATGCCATAGCCAATAATACGTGTGTATTTAACAGCATCTTTATCTATGAGTATGCATTCACTGTAAGCTAACTCAAGCATACTTAACACTGGTGATAATAACAGTCAACAGTGATCATTGTTCTAGGGACTTTGACTAATAGGTTAGTGTTGATTCCTTGCTATGTTTGGAGGCCGTACCTTAATCTGTTAAAGGTGCTATGTATTTTCCCTAGACACACTAGCTACATTTCAAGTGCTTCATGACCACATGAAGCTAGTGAGATTACCATACTAAATAGTGCAGATATTGAGTATTTTCTTTATGATGAAAAGTTCTATTGGATAGCAGTGGTCTATGACTTATAGGAATGTCAGTGTTTTATTAAAATATTAGGGCTGTTCAGGTGTACAGTAAGCCTCTTGTCAGCCGTTGCCTTATCCAGCCCTGACTCATTAGTAGTGGCTCTCTGCCTTCTGAAACTTAGTTTTAGTTCTGACCAAGCTCCCTAACATGCTTTGTTTCCTTAAACACTCATGTTTCTTCATTTGTTCTTAACTCTGGTGGTCCCTTGATGATATCAGGACCCTTTAAACCTCCAGCAAAGGCCCATTTGTCTTGATTTCATCTCGAGTGTCTATGATGGAGGAATCAGCATTTATGAAGGAGAAATCATTCCTCACTGCCATTTCCAGGGCTTTGCTTTGGCACCTACTTTCACTACCATTCATTCCTCTTTGAAACCAGTGTTGCCTCTCTTTTCACTAGTCCTCATCAATAAAAGCTCAGTCTGTAATAGACTTCTCTGCTTTAGCACCTGACCCTTTCCCCCTCTGCCTTATTTCATCATCCTTAAAGGTTTCCACATCTATGTTGTTAGTCTATGCAGTGCCAGCACTCTCTGGCCTCCTTGACTCTGAGACATTCCCCCTACTTTACTGTAACTCCCACATGAACTTAGTAACCAGTTCCTAAGTGCAAATCTGATGTTTTCTGGATATTTTTTTCTTATTAACACTTTTCTTGTTCTGAGAACAGCAATCTCTGGATTTATATGTTACGATAGCCTCCTAACTTGCCTCCCTACCCCCCTCCTTTCTCTACACTGCAGCCAGAAGTGATCTTTCTTGAAGATAGATTTGATCATGTAATTCTCTGATTTAAAACTCTTCAGTGAATTTCCATTGCCTTGAGGATGATCTCCAGATTTCTTCACATAGTTATGAGGCCAGATGTGGCTTCCTTCTCCCTTCCAAGGTTGCTTCTTACTCTGTCCTGTCACACCCTGTTCCCCTGTACATTTTGCCATTATCAAAGGCAGGAGAGTTCAGTGCTTGAGTATGAGCTTGTCAGAGTTAGCCCGACTTAGATTCAACTTCTAGCCCCACCATTCACTGGCTGTGTGACCTTGGACAAGTTATTTAACTTCTCCGTGTCTCAGTTTCTCCTCACTGTAAAATGTAGAAATATATGACTCACAGGATTGTCAATGAGGGCTACATTTCAAAATGTGTATCAGTTATCTTGTAAAAAGCCTGGCACAAAATATTTTCTCAGCAAATAGTGATGATGGTATGATGGTATGATGGTTATAATCCCACTGATTAGCCTGTGCTCTTTCCAGCTTCTGGGTCTTTGTACAGGCCATGCACATTTTATCCACTTGACTGCCTGGATATTTCCTCCATCCTTACATGTCTTAGCTTGTGTGGCCCTCTCTCTAGAAAACCTCAGCTCACCCATGTCTAGATTTGATATACTTCTTATGTGCTTTTATAACAGGGTTCTCTTGGCACTGTTGACATTTCTGGCTTCATAATTCTTTATTTTGGAGCCTGCCCGGCAAATTGCAGTAGCATCCCCCAAATTATGACATCCAAAGATGTCTCCAGATGTCATTGCTCTGGAGGAGAGATTTGCCCCCAGTTGAGAACCACTATGTATTGCAGCACTTATCAAAATATATTATTGTGGCTTATTTGTCTATATCCTTCATTAAATTTTAAAATCTCTGACAGTAAGGAAGTTATCCATCTTAATCACTCTTCCATCTCTAGCATACCACACAGAGCTCAGTACATGGTAGGTACTCAGTAAACATCGACTGATGAAGGGACTCACATCTCACCAGTTTCCTAGAATTCCTTTATTCCTTGTTTAGACAGTCTCCCTCTGTCACCCTGAGTAGAGTGCTGTGCCATCATAGCTCATGATAACCTCAAACTCCTGGGTTTCAGCAGTCCTCTTGCTTCAGCCTTCTGAGTAGGGACAAAATATAGGTGCCTGCCATAATGCCTGGCTAGTTTTTCTATTTTTAGTAGAGATGGGATCTCATTCTTGCTCAGGCTGGTCGCAAACTCCTGACCTCAGGAGATGCACCTACCTTGGCCTCCCAGAGTGCGGGAATTACAGGCATGAGCCACTGTGCCCAGCTGAATTCCTTTGTTCTTATCTTTCCACTTTTTCTACCTTGCCAGTGCCCAGTGAAAATTAAGCTCAACCATATATATGTTTTCCTATTGCTACTTTCAGCCTACCAAGCATTGTTGAAAAAAGTTACTTAAGAGAGCCGCTGAACGTGTTCCACCAGAGTAATACCAGTCACCCGAGGTCCAGTTGAACAATTATTTTTCTCTGTAGTCTTCTATCTTATATACTCTACTCATTTTTCTCACTTCCCCAACTCCACTGCTAGGTCCTCACTCTGAACAGATGACCCACTTCTCACTTTACTAAAAATAGGACCAACTGACCACAGCGTCTTTAACATCTTCTTCCTCAAGCTTCCTCAAATGTCCATCCTACTCATTTTTTTCCCTTGCTTTTCTGGCTCTCTTATTTCTCACGATGAATCACTTCTTCTAGGTTCTTGATGTCTTCCAGGGTTTCAGGGACCCTGGAGCCATTTGCCATCACATCTTCCTTCCTTTCCTCTTTTCTATTTCCCCCCGTCCCATCTACAGCGGTTATTTCTGTTTAAGCAAAAAGCAGCCTTCACATGACCATTTTCCACATAATTTACTACCTTCTGGCCATCATTTCACTGGCAGACTTTTCAAAACAGGTGTCTCCTCTGGTAGCTTTCCTTTCACTTCCAAACACATTGTAGTTGGGCTTGAGCAGATTGTAGTGTGATTCCATGCTACTGACTTGCTTACTCCCTGGTCACATTCGCTTCCTGATTACCAACCCAGCGACCTCATCTCAGTCCTCACTGGACTCAAACTAATTTTGGAAGGTCATGACATATTGACCTTTTCCCTTCATTTAGCTGATACTTTACTCTCAGAGGTCCACATTGCATTATTCATTTTAAGTTTCCTTCAGTTTGTTTCCCACAAGCCTTAAATGTAGATATTCCTCAGAGTTAGTTCCTGACTATGTTGCCCTGATTTCCTGAGATTCACATGTCCTTTTGTGGCCAAACTTTACCATCGTTTGAACACCCCTGGATTGCACCTTTATCTGCCACTGCTTTCCTGAGCTTCAGCCCTGCATTTCTTGCTGCTACTAGATCTCTTATATGGAAGACATTCTACTTGCATCTGAAGCTGCACACCCAAATTACTAATTTTCTCTACCATTCCTTTTCCTTCTACCATTTTCTGTATTTACTTTTCAAATAATGGTACTGCCATCTTTACAACGGCCCTAGCTTGTGTCCTTTAAAATATCTTGGCTCTTCCCCATCACTTGCTCTTTAATATCCATCAGTTGCCAAGCTTCATCCCTCTCTTCAGAGTCCCTGTTTAGCTGTACCCGCCTTTCCCACTGCCCTGGTTCAAGTCTTCGCATTCTCTTGTGCAGCCTGTGCAGACTACTACAATCACTTTCTAACTCATTTCCATCAGATTTCTTCCAGTTACAGTGTATCTGTCACGGTGGTGCCATCTTTCTCTTTAGGTAGCAGAGGAGAAGATAAATCCTTAGCGTAACTTTTCAGGTCTTTCACAGTCTGCCCCCACTCTCACTTTTCTAGATTTTCCTTTCGCTACACTCTTTCATATAAGCTGTGCTGTTTTTCAGAACATGACCTACAATTGGCCATTTTCATGAATTTGCTTGTGCTGCATTTTCTAACCTGTGTTCATCTGTGAAATAACTATTCAACCTATGAGGCTCAACGCAAATGGCAGTCTTCCTAGAAGATTTCCCCAGCCCCTTCTTATTTGAATTAACCTCTTCTTCCTGCATATTCCTATTGAGGATGTGTATAGTGGCTGTGTACATAGTTCTCTCCACCAAAGACCTAGAAAGTCAGGCAGGTCGGTGTCATCTATTACTATGCTCCTCACATCACCAGTTACATCTTAATTGCACAATAAATGTTCATTGAATTGAATTAAGTCAATTGTTAGTTTTAACTATTAATGTGAAGTTTTATAATTAATGCTTTTTAAAATTTAACAGTTAAGAACAAGCAAGGCTACTGTGTATTCTGACTCTGTAGCATTTTCAGTAAATTAAGAAAAATGGATGCAAGGATTGATTATTAAGCACTGTACAAAATGTAATATGGGTTTAGTAGTTTCTATCCAGAAGGTATTTAAGATTTTTGCTTTCTGAGAGTATTAAAAAGTCAGATGACATCCATATTTTAATTTTAAAACCAATTGCTTTTA